GCCCCATCCATCCATTAACTCAAGTCATCCACTCTATGTACAACTTACAACTCAAGCCGCCCACTCTGTGCATAAGTTACAACTCAAGTCACCCCCTCTATGTACAACTCAAGGCATACAATCTACGCAAAACTTACAATTCAAGTCACCCACTCTAGGTACAAATTACAACTCAAGTCACCTACTCTATGTACAACTCAAGGCATACAGTCTATGTAGAACTTACAACTCGAGTCACCCACTCTATGTACAAATTACAACGTCAAGTCACCCACACTATGTACAACTTACAATGTCAAGTCACCCACACTATGTACAAATTACAACGTCAAGTCACCCACACTATGTACAAATTACAACGTCAAGTCACACACACTATGTACAAATTACAACGTCAAGTCACCCACACTATGTACAAATTACAACGTCAAGTCACCCACACTATGTACAAATTACAACGTCAAGTCACCCACACTATGTACAAATTACAACGTCAAGTCACCCACACTATGTACAAATTACAATGTCAAGTCACCCACACTATGTACAAATTACAACGTCAAGTCACCCACACTATGTACAAATTACAACGTCAAGTCACCCACACTATGTACAAATTACAACGTCAAGTCACCCACACTATGTACAAATTACAACGTCAAGTCACCCACACTATGTACAAATTACAACGTCAAGTCACCCACACTATGTACAACTTGAGTCACACACTCTATGTACAACTTGAGTCACCCACTCTATGTACAACTTGAGTCACCCACTCTATGTACAACTTGAGTCACCCACTCTATGTACAACTTGAGTCACCCACTCTATGTACAACTTGAGTCACCCACTCTATGTACAACTTGAGTCACCCACTCTATGTACAACTTGAGTCACCCACTCTATGTACAACTTGAGTCACACACTCTTATGTACAACTTGAGTCACACACTCTATGTACAACTTGAGTCACACACTCTATGTACAACTTGAGTCACACACTCTATGTACAACTTGAGTCACACACTCTATGTACAAATTACAACTCATGTCGCCCACTAGACATGTAATTTACTACGATAAACACATTTAGCTGGCCAAGATATAATTATATGATCAGAGAACTGCGCTTGTGGTGAGGTAAAGAACTACCCAGACAGTGAATGGTGTAGTGAGGTAAAGAACTGCCCAGACAGTGAATGGTGCAGTGAGGTAAAGAACTGCCCAGACAGTGAATGGTGTAGTGAGGTAAAGAACTGCCCAGACAGTGAATGGTATGGTGAGGTAAAGAACTACCCACCAGTGAATGGTGTAGTGAGGTAAAGAACTGCCCAGACAGTGAATGGTGTAGTGAGGTAAAGAACTGCCCAGACAGTGAATGATGTAGTGAGGTAAAGAACTGCCCAGACAGTGAATGGTGTAGTGAGGTAAAGAACTGCCCAGACAGTGAATGGTGCAGTGAGGTAAAGAACTGCCCAGACAGTGAATGGTGTAGTGAGGTAAAGAACTGCCCAGACAGTGAATGATGTAGTGAGGTAAAGAACTGCCCAGACAGTGAATGGTGTAGTGAGGTAAAGAACTGCCCAGACAGTGAATGGTGTAGTGAGGTAAAGAACTGCCCAGACAGTGAATGGTGTAGTGAGGTAAAGAACTACCCAGACAGTGAATGGTGTAGTGAGGTAAAGAACTGCCCAGACAGTGAATGGTGTAGTGAGGTAAAGAACTGCCCAGACAGTGAATGGTGTGGTGGGGTAAAGAACTACCCACCAGTGAATGGTGTGGTGAGGTAAAGAACTGCCCAGACAGTGAATGGTGTAGTAAGGTAAAGAACTGCCCAGACAGTGAATGGTGTAGTGAGGTAAAGAACTGCCCAGACAGTGAATGGTGTAGTAAGGTAAAGAACTGCCCAGACAGTGAATGGTGTAGTAAGGTAAAGAACTGCCCAGACAGTGAATGGTGCAGTGAGGTAAAGAACTGCCCAGACAGTGAATGGTGTAGTGAGGTAAAGAACTGCCCAGACAGTGAATGGTGTAGTAAGGTAAAGAACTGCCCAGACAGTGAATGGTGTGGTGAGGTAAAAAAATGCCCAGCCAGTGAATGGTGTAGTGAGGTAAAGAACTGCACAGACAGTGAATGGTGTAGTGAGGTAAAGAACTGCCCAGACAGTGAATGGTGTAGTGAGGTAAAGAACTGCCCAGACAGTGAATGGTGCAGTGAGGTAAAGAACTGCCCAGACAGTGAATGGTGTAGTAAGGTAAAGAACTGCCCAGACAGTGAATGGTGTAGTGAGGTAAAGAACTACCCAGACAGTGAATGGTGTAGTGAGGTAAAGAACTGCCCAGACAGTGAATGATGTAGTGAGGTAAAGAACTGCCCAGACAGTGAATGGTGTGGTGAGGTAAAGAACTACCCAGACAGTGAATGATGTAGTGAGGTAAAGAACTGCCCAGACAGTGAATTGTGTGGTGAGGTAAAGAACTGCCCAGCCAGTGAATGGTGTAGTGAGGTAAAGAACTGCCCAGACAGTGAATGGTGCAGTGAGGTAAAGAACTGCCCAGACAGTGAATGGTGTAGTGAGGTAAAGAACGTCCAGACAGTGAATGGTGTGGTGAGGTAAAGAACTGCCCAGACAGTGAATGGTGTGGTGGGGTAAAGAACTGCCCAGACAGTGAATGGTGTGGTGAGGTAAAGAACTGCCCAGCCAGTGAATGGTGTAGTGAGGTAAAGAACTGCCCAGACAGTGAATGGTGTAGTGAGGTAAAGAACTGCCCAGACAGTGAATGGTGTGGTAATGTAAAGAACTGCCCAGACAGTGAATGGTGCAGTGAGGTAAAGAACTGCCCAGACAGTGAATGGTGTAGTGAGGTAAAGAACTGCCAAGACAGTGAATGGTGTAGTGAGGTAAAGAACTGCCCAGACAGTGAATGGTGTAGTGAGGTAAAGAACTGCACAGACAGTGAATGGTGTAGTGAGGTAAAGAACTGCCCAGACAGTGAATGGTGCAGTGAGGTAAAGAACTGCCCAGACAGTGAATGGTGTAGTGAGGTAAAGAACTGCCCAGACAGTGAATGGTGCAGTGAGGTAAAGAACTGCCCAGACAGTGAATGGTGTAGTGAGGTAAAGAACTGCCCAGACAGTGAATGGTGTAGTGAGGTAAAGAACTGCCCAGACAGTGAATGGTGTAGTGAGGTAAAGAACTGTCCAGACAGTGAATGGTGTAGTGAGGTAAAGAACTGCCCAGACAGTGAATGGTGTAGTGAGATAAAGAACTGCCCAGACAGTGAATGGTGTAGTGAGGTAAAGAACTGCCCAGACAGTAAATGGTGTAGTAAGGTAAAGAACTGCCCAGACAGTGAATGGTGTGGTGAGGTAAAAAAATGCACAGCCAGTGAATGGTGTAGTGAGGTAAAGAACTGCCCAGACAGTGAATGGTGTAGTGAGGTAAAGAACTGCCCAGACAGTGAATGGTGTAGTGAGGTAAAGAACTGCCCAGACAGTGAATGGTGTGGTGAGGTAAAGAACTGCCCAGACAGTGAATGGTGTAGTGAGGTAAAGAACTGCTTAGACAGTGAATGGTGTGGTGAGGTAAAGAACTGCCCAGACAGTGAATGGTGCAGTGAGGTAAAGAACTGCCCAGACAGAGTGAATTGCCTAGGCTGACTGTTACTGATGGATGTCCTACCTTTCTTTTATTCAGCAGATTCCAGTCCTGAAACTGCCGGTTGCAGTGAAACTGGGAGCTATGTCTTCTACCCTGTGAGATTAGACATGTATAGCAAGTCAGTTCTACGCTGTCAAGTTGCTCTGATAGATACGTCAAGTCATATATCATCTCCAAGGCATGATGTGTGCAAGTTTATAAATATACTTACACATCACAAGTCAGCAGATCTACTCAAACATCATAAACATGTATATATATATATATATTTATTCAAAATATCATCAATATATAAATATATTCTAACATCACAAATAAATAAATCCAAACATCAGAAGTATAGAAATGTACCCAAACACCACAAGTATATAAATCTACCAAAAGATCCCAAATTAAAAAAACCTACTAAAATAACACAAGTACATAAATCTACTCAAAGAACATCACAAGGAAAATAAACAAACTTGACAACATGAACAGAAATAGAATAAGTACATTCAAGCATAATAAGGAAATAGGCCTCCTCAACCAGGATCACAAGTGAATAAACTTCCTCAAGATCGCTATGATATCACTGCATTCAAAAGGGCTCAAACTCAAAAAACATAAGGAGAAAATCTGATAGACAAAAGTAACAAAACCGATTCAAACAAAACAAGAAAACAAAACTTAAAACTACATGATACAATTTTTTTTTTAAACTACATGAGAAAATAAAAGCAAAACAACAAAACTTAACCCAAAACTACATGAGAACACTTTAAATTAAACTCATCCTCATCATCATGTAGCAGGTCTTTTGCAGAACGGCGCTCTCATCACGGTCTGCCTGAAAGAAACTCAAGTCTCTCGCCAGCTCTCCCGCCTCAGGTACTTACTCAAGAAGTCTCTTATATCCTGTGCTCATCTGTGTGCTGGTTGGTTATTTTCCAATCTACTGTGGTGTTTAATATGGAAAAAATATTCAAGCTTCCGTGACAAGATGCTGTTTATTAGCCAATCTTCCTTGATGTTCAGATCTTTTAGAATGTAAGCATTTATTCTGTTCTTTGTCCATGGTGTTCTGAGAATCTGTCTATAGCATTTCACCTTAAAAGGCCACATTTTCACCCTTAACTCTTTCAGTCCCAAGGAATACATCATACGTTCATATGTTCCTACCTAGAAGCCCAATGAATGCAAGATAGGTTTATTTTACATCTTGTTACCACCAATTGGGCCTCTGATGCTCAACCCCCTGGGACTCAAAGAGTTAAGGACTAAAACTAAATGAGGAAACTTGAAACTAAATGAGAAAACTCAAACAAAAACTACATGAGATTTAAAATGTACTGACCATGAAGTGCACTGGTTGGCTGATGAGCCTGGCTAACTTTTGTGCATCTAGTAGTCCCGATTTTGTGCCCCCTTCCGGCAAAGACTGCATGGAAATGTCAGAGATGTTTTCTGGCACCTGCGAGCAGAAGTCCAGGTCATCTGACAACCTGGAATGCATCGACTCAGTTAATTTGTCTTCGTCATCGTCAAGAATGTCACATGACCGTTGCCTGGTGGTGGAATGAAAGGTTTGGCCTCTCGTGCCGGCAGGTGGTCGGAAACCCGGCTGCAGACCGCTGATATTGCCTGCCAACGGAGGGTAGTGAAAGCCTGCGTCTGTCTTATAGTGAGCTGGTGTTTCCACGGCAATGCTGTCATGGATATCCGAGCCGCTAATCCTGCTAGCGAATTTACTGCTGTTATTTAGTGATGGTGCTGTTGTGTTGAATGAGGCTGCTGTTATGACTGGTTTCGTACCGGTGTATGGAGAGTGTGGGGGCAGTGCTGCTTTGGTTCCAGAACTCCTTGCCAGAGCCAGCTCTACAGACAAGGGTGTGGTGTTTCTGCTCTCTAAGATTCCTTCATCTGAATGTCGGCGGGGACTAGGCACTGGTGAGTTGGCAGGCAGCACCTGCTTTCTGCTAAAGCCGCCCTCATTAGCGTACAAGTCTATCTGTGATGTGTACTTCCTTGCAGACCTGCTGGTATCTCTCTCAAGACGTTCACCTGGAGACCTTGAATACCAACTGGAGCTACCAGACTGCTTTTGTATATACCCCTGTTTACTGATGTACTCTGTGTTGTTATCATGTCCGTCTCTGTGTGAAAATCTACCACCTTCATGCAGACCGTCATATCTCAAACTTGGTTTGTCATACTGGCTTACACTCTGGTGAAATCTCTGGCCATGATTTCTCAATCCTGGTGTTTCATATATACTTTGATGAAATTCCTGACCATCATATCCATGACTGTAGAGGTGAGCTGTGCTACCAGAAGTAATGAACTCTGACCTAGGAGTGGTGTTCAATCGAGGCCTAGCATAGTCATGGTCATCTCTGTGAAGCAAGACAGTATGTCGAGGCTCACTCCCTGACCTGGCTCGGGATGCGGGGGCAGAATTATCTTCATTATGATCCTCATCACCAGACGCAGCGCCGCCCCTGTGTCGCAGTTCATGCGAGTGCCCAAACTTGGAGCTCACGGTGGGAATATAACACATAGTCACGTAACGACTGCTTTGATCATCCAGTTTTGGGCTTTCCTTGACATAATCAAAGCCTGGTCTGACTTCAACGGTCACATCTCTGGAAGTCTTCACCTGCGAGAACACAAGATATCAGAATAGACTCAATGAAATATCTACATCATAGGCTAAACACCTGAACATCTAGGACTGGTTTGAAGAACTTTTACATTTTAATCTAATATGTTCCAGACTAGCCAAAAGAACATTTGAATTATTATCTAATATGTTCCAGACTAGCCAAAAGAACATTTGAATTATTATCTAATATGTTCCAGACTAGCCAAAAGAACATTTGAATTATTATCTAATATGTTCCAGACTAGCCAAAAGAACATTTGAATTATTATCTAATATGTTCCAGACTAGCCAAAAGAACATTTGAATTATTATCTAATATGTTCCAGACTAGCCAAAAGAACATTTGAATTATTATCTAATATGTTCCACACTAGCCAAAAAAAAAAAAAAAACATCTGAATTATCTAATATGTTCCACACTAGTCAAAAAAACATCTGAATTATTATCTAATATGTTCCAGACTAGCCAGAAGAACATTATTATCTAATATGTTCCACATTAGCCAAAAGAACATCTGAATTATTATCTAATCTGTTTCAGACTAGCCAGAAGAACATCTGAATTATTATCTAATATGTTCCACAATAGCCAAAAAAAACATCTGAATTATTATCTAATCTGTTTCAGACTAGCCAGAAGAACATCTGAATTATTATCTAATATGTTCCACACTAGCCAAAAAAAACACATCTGAATTATTATCTAATATGTTCCACAATAGCCAAAAAAAAACATCTGAATTATTATCTAATATGTTCCACACTAGCCAGAAGAACATCTGAATTATCTATGTAAGAGGTTCCAGACTGGCTTGAAGAACCTCTGAATTATCAACTATCATCTATGTAACAAGTTCCTGATTGGCTTCAAGAACCTCTGAATTATCAACTATCATCTATGTAACAGGTTCCAGATTAGCTTCAAGAACCTCTAAATTATCAACTATCATCTATGTAACAAGTTCCTGACTGGCTTCAAGAAGCTATGAATTATCATCTATCATCTATGTAACAGATTCCAGATTAGCTTCAAGAACCTCTAAATTATCATCATCTATGTAAAAAGTTCCAGACTGGCTTGAAGAATCTCTGAAATATCAACTATCATCTATGTAACAGGTTCCAGATTGGCTTGAAGAACCTCTGAATTATCAACTATCATCTATGTAACAAGTTCCAGACGCTTCAAGAAGCTTTGAATTATCAACTATCATCTATGTAACAGGTTCCAGACTGGCTTCAAGAACCTCTGAATTATCATCATCTATGTAAAAAGTTCCAGACTGGCTTGAAGAACCTCTGAAATATCAACTATCATCTATGTAACAGGTTCCAGATTGGCTTGAAGAACCTCTGAATTATCAACTATCATCTATGTAACAAGTTCCAGACGCTTCAAGAAGCTTTGAATTATCAACTATCATCTATGGAACAAGTTTCTGAATGGCTTCAAGAAGCTATGAATTATCATCTATGTAACATGTTCCAGGCCAGTTCAAAGATCTTTTGCGTGTCTCTGAATTATATATTTATATATATTTTGTAACCCGCTCAAGACTGACTCACAGAATTGTGTTTTTCTGAAATATCACCTATATAACAGGTTCCAGATTGGCTTGTAGAACCTTTGTGCCTGTGATTGGCTCGAAGAACCTCTGTCTCCGAATATCGTCTATGAAACTGGTTCTTACAGGACTGGGGTTCCTAAACATCATCTATACAACCTGTATCTATATAAGGAGCAAAGCAACTGACCAGTATTGCACAACTGCGCGGATGTACAGACAAAAGTGATATCAACAGAGTTAGATGTATCAGGCTGGCAGATGACGGATCTCTGAAGCTAACATCATTACATGACCTTGGAATGAAGGCTGGTGAAGCATGTTGGTGCCATCTTTGAGGCCAAATTAGAAGACATTGTAACAAACTTCTCATAGGAACAATCAGCAGGACTCAGCATGCATGGGAATGCCCAATGTGCAGTTACACTGATTAGATAACACAGCATAAAATTTAACTCGTTCAAGATCGGCTTAAAGAACCTCTGTGTTTACTAAGTAACACGCATATTATCAATTTATTAACAGCTCATAGAATGCTTCTCCAAAATGTCATCATCATCATCATCATCTCTCTCACACACATACATAGAACTGACTTCCAAATTAGCTTACAGAATGACTGTGTTTACTAATTATCATCTGGCAGAAGTACTATATAATAGTAAAGCAAGAAATAACTATAGATTTATGTGAGCTCCTCACTTTTCCTGCCCTCTCGTACTGTACTTAACTAACCTGACATGAGGAGATTTCCACCTGGCTGGAGTCCAGGGAGGTCTGCGTGGCTATCTCCTCCCTATTTTGCTTGGAGGGAACAGCTGTAACAGAACTACTGGCCTGTGTCCTACAGCTCTCATTGCTGGACCCGAGACTGGTCAGTTGCTAAAAAGAGAGAGAGATAGAGAGAGCGTTTATCTTAGCTATTAAACATTACCCATACACAGTCTACCAAAAGTTACCAAGCATTAACCTTACATGGTATATCAAAAGTTATTACGCATTAACCATAACGGTATATATAAATTTATTGTACATTAACCATACACAGTCTACTGAAAGTTTTTATGCATTAACTATATTTGGTCTACTAAAAGTTATACATTAACCATACATGGTGTACCCAAAGTTATTATACATTAACCATACACTGTTTACACAAAGTTATTATACATTAACCATACACTGTCTACACAAAGTTATTATTCATTAACCATACACTGTCTACACAAAGTTATTATACATTAAGCATACACGGTCTACACAAAGTTATTATACATTAACCATACACGGTCTACCAAAAGTTTTTATACATTTACCATACACCTTTCCGTGTGAGTTCCGGGGCCCTATTGTGGGGAAAAGAAAAATAGACCCACTGCCTACCCAACAAGCACGTCGTAAGAGATGACTAACTGGGGGCTTCTTTCGAAGTTGGAGTGCATTTGCCTGAGAGGCAAGGAACCAACAATCTGCATACCTTTGAGTCAGATCTGTTAAACAAATGTGCATGCAACACTTAGGTTCTGGAACAAGACTAAAGTCCAAAAGTGGACAAACAACAAGAACTTTCCGCTGGAGTTCAGAACTTTCCGCTGGAGTTCACAGCCAGTGAACGTGAAGAAGAAGAAGATTAACCATACACGATTCTACCCAAAGTTATTATGCACTAACCATACATGGTCTATTAAACGTTATTATATATTAATCATACAGTCTACCCAAAGTTATTATATATTAAACATACAGTCTACAAAAAATTATTATACTTTAACTATACAATTTACCAAAAAATTGTATACATTAACCATACAGTTTACCAAAAATTATTATACATTAACAATACAATTTACCAAAAAATATTATACATTTACCGTACAGTTTACCAAAAATGATATATACATTAACCATACAGTTTACCAAAAATGATTATACATTAACCATACAGGTTATGAAAAATTAGTAGACAGTAACCCGGGCTATTAACAAATATTATACATAAACCATACATACAACTAAATATCTGACTCTGTCTACTCAATACTTAACTCTGCTGTCTATATGATGTTTAACTCTAACATCTACTAAATGCTCAACTCTCCAGTTTTCCAATGATTTATTTGGTTATATCTGTGCCTATCTTTTGTATCCCCTTCGCCAAGCTTTCTAGTCACATTTTATGCTGTATTTAGTATGACTCCTAACTAACATCTACATAATTTTCATCTCACCTAACTTATCAATGGTTAACTCAAACAAACAATTTAGTCATTATTATTATCATGTGCCATGCTGAAAGGTGCGCACTGCCAGGTTTTGCCATCTCAGATGATCACCAAAATGAGGGATAAGTTCAGCGTTTTTGTCTCGCCCCATCCATCCGTTAAAGGCCATCTAGATATTTATCTCTTTGTCTTCCTCTGGATCTCTGTCCATCAACCTTGCCAGTTGTTACCAAGTTCTCAAGTCAATTTCTTCTCACAATATGTTCAGAAAACACTGACTGTCTACATCTAGCCGTTCTTACACGTTTATGGCTTTCATCTGTCTCGGTAAGGAATGCTTCATTTGTTTGTCTATCCTTCCATGATATTCTTAGCATTTTTTTTCCAGAAACCACATCTCTGCAGTGAGTAAATATATTTAAACTCAGTGTTCAAATCTACTATCTAATAACCCTCACATCTACTTAATGCTCCATTTCATATCTATCAATATCTCACCACTGTGTGAATAATGAGCCTTGGAAAGGGCCAAATGGTAGATGAGCCTGTGTGCCCAATTTGTGACCCTTTAAAAATAAAATCTCTTGTTCACTTTACCATACTCAAAACTTCTATACATACATCCCTATGTCATTTATCTAAAAAGTCTGAACCCTTGTCCACACACTCGCAACGCCTGACACAGTGTTTGATGTCTCACCTTCACATTGTCTGACTCCACGGCTGCTGACTCCATGACCGGATCTGCATCACCAAACCCACTGCTGTCAGACTGTACACTGCCCATGCGTGACAAGTCATCTGTAGAAGAGGTATGTGTTGGTAGATTTATACATTTCTGATGTTCTAGTAAATGTATGCTTTTGATATTTGAGTAGATTTATAAACTTCTGATGTTCTAGTAAATGTATACTTTTGATATTTGAGTAGATTTATACACTTCTGATGTTTGCGCAGATTTATAAACTTTTGATGTTTGAGTAGATTTACACTTTTGATGACCAAGTAATTTATTCACTTTTGATGATTAAAGAGAACTATACATTTTGATTTTTTAAGTAGATCCATAAACGTTTGTTATTTGAGTAGATTTATACACTTGAACTTTTTGAGAAGATTTATGTTTGTGAGGTTTTAACAGATTTATATACCTGATGTTTAAGTAGATTTATACAAGTGTTGTTTAAGTAGATATATGAACTTGTGATGTCCAAGTAAGGTGTTTCTGTACTGAGGTTATCATTCAAGGTATTGCACTTGTACTGTCTGAAAAGAATTACTTATTAGTAATGCTTGAGTAGATTTATACACTTTTGAATCTACTTCTTCTTCTTCGGCATTATGAGCCCTTGAGATTCATTGCTGCAGATATCACCCACCTCCATTCATCTCGGGTTGACCTTCTCTTTCCAGCTGGTGAAAATATACTTTTGAATACATTTATTTACTTTGTGATGTCTGATAAATATAAACATAAACATTAAATAAATATGTAACTGTTACATTTACTTCTTTGAGATATTTCAATTATATTTACTTATAATATTTCACTAGATTTATTTCCTTATAACTGTTTAGGTTTATATATTTGTGACATTTGAATAGATTTATATATTTTTTTTTATATACATTTGTATACTTGCGACGTTTAAGTAGATCAGAGGAGTTTGGTTAAGTGCAGAGTGGCACTGTACAGCTGATAATGTTACTAATGTCAAACTTTTGCTGGTGAGTGCTGTAACAGATGTTAATGTTTCATAATGTTATACTTTTGCTGGTGAGTGCTGTAACAGATGTTAATGTTTCATAATGTTATACTTTTGCTGGTGAGTGCTGTAACAGATGTTAATGTTTCATAATGTTATACTTTTGCTGGTGAGTGCTGTAACAGATGTTAATGTTTCATAATGTTATACTTTTGCTGGTGAGTGCTGTAACAGATGTTAATGTTTTCATAATGTTATACTTTTGCTGGTGAGTGCTGTAACAGATGTTAATGTTTCATAATGTTATACTTTTGCTGGTGAGTGCTGTAGCAGATGTTAATGTTTCATAATGTTATACTTTTGCTGGTGAGTGCTGTAGCAGATGTTAATGTTGCATAATGTCACACTTTTGCTGGTGAGTGCTGTAGCAGATGTTAATGTTGCAGAATGTCATACTTTTGCTGGTGAGTGCTGTAGCAGATGTTAATGTTGCAGAATGTCATACTTTTGCTGGTGAGTGCTGTAGCAGATGTTAATGTTGCATAATGTCACACTTTTGCTGGTGAGTGCTGTAGCAGATGTTAATGTTGCATAATGTCACACTTTTGCTGGGGAGTGCTGTAGCAGATGTTAATGTTGCATAATGTCACACTTTTGCTGGTGAGTGCTGTAGCAGATGTTAATGTTTCATAATGTCACACTTTTGCTGGTGAGTGCTGTAGCAGATGTTAATGTTGCATAATGTCACACTTTTGCTGGTGAGTGCTGTAGCAGATGTTAATGTTGCATAATGTCACACTTTTGCTGGTGAGTGCTGTAGCAGATGTTAATGTTGCAGAATGTCATACTTTTGCTGGTGAGTGCTGTAGCAGATGTTAATGTTGCATAATGTCACACTTTTGCTGGTGAGTGCTGTAGCAGATGTTAATGTTGCATAATGTCACACTTTTGCTGGTGAGCGCTGTAGCAGATGTTAATGTTGCGTAATGCAATACTTTAAATGACAAGTACACATGCATGTATTAATGTAATATTTCATCTGGCTAGTGTTGTAACATATGTGTATATTACGTGTATATGATGAGAAAGATGGCGAAATAACATTCCGTTCACCACCTGTAAAATCTGGTGGGAAAAATTCAGGCTGTTCGTCCACTTCTGGACGTATTCCAGAACCTGTGTTTTGCATGCATGTTTGTTTTAAAGACCCATCCCTTTCGTCGAAAAATTGTTGGTTCCCAACTTCTCAGGCAGATTCTCTCCGACTTCAAAGGATACGCCCCTAATTAATCTACTTTTATTATGTGCTTGTTAGGGTAGCTGGGGGTCTATTCCCCTCCCCCCCCCCCCCCCCCCACCCCACCTCCCTCCCACAAATGAGGTTCCAGAAATAACACGGGGAACTGAGTATAGTGAAGAAGTTTGTAATGTGATTTTGTGCTGTAAAGAAGAGGCACATTTACTATTTATTGTCAATAGGTGGTAAACTATCTGCACTGACTGTAAACATAATAGATGTTTAGACCTTACTGTTCTGATGGTAACTAGCATGTATGTATGGTCATTTTATTGTGTGTTGTGAATTAGACAAAAAAGTTACTTTACTCTGCTAAATAAAGAGGTAGACTTCCTGTAAAAAAAAGGTAAACATCATACATACATGGTAAACTTACTGGGCTGAATAACTGTCTGGTAAACTTACTGGGCTGAATAACTGTCTGAGTTGGCTGGCGGACTATGACACTGCTTGGCACGGGTCTGTCACTACAACACACGGCCTGACACTGACAACGACGTCTCATACAAGGAAACCACACATTCCTATGCTCACAAGCCGGCCTGTGTAAGTTCATCATTGTGAACACACAAGGCAGGCAGCAGCACGTGTCAGGAATCATGGTGCTCTGCTCTAGGTGAGAATCAACACCAAACATCTGAGTCTCTAGAGAAGTCTGATGTGTCTCACACTGTAGGATGTGGCCATTAGGCTGAACAGAATCTCTCTTACAGACAGATGTAACAGTACCTGTATCCTCTATTTCATCCGCCAAGGCCCTGTCAGTAACGTTACAACCATTCTTGTTGCCACCACTGTTACATCTCACAGAGCCTGTATCTTCTACTCTATTGACAGAGACCCTGTGAGTACAGTTACGACCATTCCTGTTGCGGCCACTGTTACATCTTCTCACTGAGCCTGTATCTTCTATTCTATTGACAGAGACCCTGTGAGTACAGTTACGACCATTCCTGTTGCAGCCACTGTTACATCTCCTCACTGAGCCTGTATCTTCTACTCCACTGACAGAGGCCCTGTGAGTACAGTCACAACCATTCTTGTTGCCTCCACCATTACATCTCAATGCGCCTGTATCTTCTACTCCATCTACGGAGGCTCTGCTACAACAGTCACAACCATTCTTGTTGCCTCCACTGTTGCATCTCTTCACTGTGCCTGATTCTTTTACCCCATTGACAGAGGCCCTATGAGTACAGTCACAACCATTCCTGTTGCCTCCACCATTACATCTTAATGCGTCTGTATCTTCTACTCCATCTACGGAGGCTCTGCTACAACAGTCACATTTCTTGCCTCCACTGATGCATCTCCTCACTATACCTGTATCCTCCACTCTATCTGCAGTGCCTCCATTGTTGCATCTACTCACTCTAGGACAAGTATCCACAGAACTCAACCTGCCATGAGAACTAGAGGAGGCAGGATAACACCCGTTTTCTATGGAACAGTCACAACCTGTGGAATGCTGAGAATCATGTCTGTGTGTAGAAGTAGTTTGTGAACAATCTTGTCTGTGCGAAGATTCAATTTGAAAACAATCACGTCTTTCTATATAATCCATTTGTGAACAATCATGCTTGGAATTACGTTCAGTGTGAGACCAATCACATCTATGTCTGTTTCTGAATATAATTCCAGTCAATAGCTGTCCCATGGTGTCAATAGTCTCTTTTTGCTCAATATCAGTAGTCTCTTAAAAAGCTTGACACATGAACAGCACACAATTTTCTATCCTCACAAAGAAGAACAATAGCTTAGACGATAACCTCAGTATGGAAACAGCCTAAATGTTAAAATATAATAACACATTTACATGCCAACCTTACTATCCGTAACAACACCTTACAAGTCAAGCACAAGATCTAGAACAGCACCTTACAAGTCAAGCACAAGGTCTAGAACAGCACCTTACAAGTCAAGCACAAGGTCTAGAACAGCACCTTACAAGTCAAGCACAAGGTCTAGAACAGCACCTTACAAGTCGAGCACAAGATCTAGAACAGCACCTTACAAGTCAAGCACAAGATCTAGAACAGCACCTTACAAGTCAAGCACAAGGTCTAGAACAGCACCTTACAAGTCAAGCACAAGGTCTAGAACAGCACCTTACAAGTCAAGCACAAGATCTAGAACAGCACCTTACAAGTCAAGCACAAGATCTAGAACAGCACCTTACAAGTCGAGCACATGATCTAGAACAGCACCTTACAAGTCAAGCACAAGATCTAGAACAGCATCTTACAAGTCAAGCACAAGATCTAGAACAGCACCTTACAAGTCAAGCACAAGGTCTAGAACAGCACCTTACAAGTCGAGCACAAGGTCTAGAACAGCACCTTACAAGTCGAGCACATGATCTAGAACAGCACCTTACAAGTCAAGCACAAGGTCTAGAACAGCACCTTACAAGTCAAGCACAAGGTCTAGAACAGCACCTTACAAGTCAAGCACAAGATCTAGAACAGCACCTTACAAGTCAAGCACAAGATCTAGAACAGCACCTTACAAGTCAAGCACAAGATCTAGAACAGCACTTTACAAGTCAAGCACAAGATCTAGAACAGCACTTTACAAGTCAAGCACAAGGTCTAGAACAGCACCTTACAAGTCGAGCACAAGATCTAGAACAGCACCTTACAAGTCAAGCACAAGGTCTAGAACAGCACCTTACAAGCCTAAAACACATTCTAGAATATATTAACCTCATTATAATAACCACCCTGACAACATGTCCTTACTATGTAGAACTGCACTTTACTAATTACCCATACAATCTAAAACGGCATCATTATCTTATATGTTAACTTTGTTTATTTGACGGATCAACATCTTGGCACACGGGTATAACCCATAAGTACTCCGTTCTACTTCTAACTCAAGCCTGAGTCTGAAGTTTCTCAGCACAGTGCACGAACTTCGTTGCACCGGGGAGGATCCTGGAATGTTTTGAGTACTTTGTAAACTTCAAATTTTGCCTGGGTAGTGCCGTTAGGCTATACTTTTCGATTTCCAACTGCCAAGGGATTTTTTTGTTACGTGTGCAAGAATACATACGGGTGTCCGACCTTACTACCCAGAGACCAGGGGAAATAACTAGCAGTCATAACTAGAAGTCCACGTGAAAAAATTCCAACCTTCACCAGGGCTTGAAGCCAGATGGTCCAGCACTCAAGGGCTACATCAAACCTCGAGACCACACATTCCCTATATATATTAACTTAAAAGCACCATCCAATATTTAACATAAGTGAAGTATGCTATTCCATGATTAATTTGTACACAACTGAAGTATGCTAATCAATAATTAATTTGTACACAACTGAAATACATTATAATATGTTTATGCTACATTATCCTATATCTAGTACACTATCTTATGTTTAACTTACAGACAGGTAAACTATCCCATGTTTATCTAGTGAAGTATGTTATCCCATGTTTAACTTATACACAAGCAAACTATACTATTTTAACTTATACGCAAGTAAAGTATACTATACCATGTTTAACTGGTACACAAGTCAAGCATACTATCACCTGTTTTACTTACAGACAAATATATTATCCCATATTTGACTTATACACAAGTGAAGTATACTATCCCATGTTTCACATATACATGTGAAGTATACTACACATTCACATGTTTAACTTATCCACAAGTACACTATCACGTGTTTATCTAGTACATAAATACCCTACCCTATGTTTATCTAGTGCAATAGTATACAATCTATGTTTAACTTATACAAAGTGAAGATTTCTATCCTAAGTTTGACATATACACATGTGAAGTGCACTGTTCCTGTTTAACTCATATACAAGGGCACTATCACATGTTTAACTGATACACAAGTGAAGTATATTATCACTTGTTTAACTTATCCATTTGCACAATATCCCATAATTAGTAGACTATATCATTTTAATCTAGTACACAAGTACATTATCCCATGTTTAACTACACTATCCCATGTTTAACTTACATACAAGTAAAGAAGCTTACCATCCTTTGTTAATTATCCATCTTTAACTCAAAGACAAGTACACTAGTACACTATCCCATGTTTCACTTACAGACAAATAAAGTACACTATTCCATGTTTAACTTATACACAAGTATACTATCCTACATTTAAATTATAAACAAGTGAAATACACTATCCCATGTTTAACTTATACACAATTAAATGATGTTATTCCCTGTTTAACTTATTTACAAGTGAAGTAAGCTATTCCATGTTGAACTGATACACAAGTACACTATCCCATGTTTATCCTATACACAAGTTAAGCCCACTATCCTATATTTAGTTTGTACACAAATCAAGTATATAACACAAGCTCAATCAGCAACCCTACTTTTAACTCAACTCAGTAAATAAACTCAACCAACTGAACACACAGAGTTCAAACTTTCTAAACACACCATTGACACAGAAACTGTGTAGATGAGAGAGCAACTGTTGACAGTTTCTCACTAGTTGACATGGAAGGCCAGTGACCAGTCCTCAGACTGAACTGTCATCAAGACATGGCAACAAACCCAGTCATGACAGCTACAGCCCAGACACTACCAACTTCTTAATGTCTACCCAAACACAGAAATAATCCAGTCACCAGTAAATTATTTATGCCTATCCAAACATACAAATAATCCAGTCACCATCATATTATTAATATCTATCAATAATCCAGACACTACCAGTTATTTATATGTATGCAGTCACTGAAATAACACAGGCACTACCAGTTATTTTTGTCAAACCAGACATAGAAATAACTTGGACACTACGAGATTGTTACCGTCCATCCACTCAGAAATAACCCAGACATTAGCAGATTATTTATGTCTATCTAGAACAAAATGTTTTCCCTGTAATGAATTTAAATAATGCGGGCACAGATTATTTATGTCTATCCAGACAAAAATAGCCCAAATATTACCAGATTATTTATTCAAAACAATTTTTCCCTGTAATGAATTTAAATAATGCGGACACAGATTATTTATGTCTATCCAGACACAGAAATAACCCAGACACTACCCAATTTTTTAATGTTCATCTAAAAAGACACTAGGCTATCTCCGCTGTCTACCCAGACACAAAAATAACCCATAGACAGGGATATTCTTGCTATTTATAGTATTAAACACTCAGAGAATCAGTATAACATTTGGTAAACACACAGAGTAATAATAGAGAATCAGTATAACATTTGGTAAACACTCAGAGTAATAATAGAGAATCAGTATAACATTTGGTAAACACTCAGAGTAATAATAGAGAATTGGTATAACATTTGGTAAACAGAGTAATAACAGAGAATTGGTATAACATTTGGTAAACACTCAGAGTAATAAAAGAGAATTTGTATAACATTAGGTAAACACTTAGAATAATAATAGAGAATATGTATAAAATTAGGTTAAAAACTCAAGAGTAATAATAACACTGGGTAAAAACTCAGAATAACGTTAGATAATCAGTGCAATATAAGGTAAACTCTCACAAGAACAGAGAACTGAAGACAGACACTCACTCTGGGAATGTTGTAATCTGCGCATAAGTTCCAAGTGACTGATAGTTGGTGGAAGTGTAGACAACTGCACTTTAGGACTCTGCTCTAGACATGCATACTCCCTCTTCTTGTTGTCAGCTGTGTGGTCGCTAACCCCTGACCCCTTGATGTGTACATGCAGGGCAGTCCTGTTACTGATTGTCTGTGTATTTACGTTCACCTGGTGACTAGCAGCGACAGCAGCAGCCATGATAAAGTCAGTATCTGTCGTCTGGCAACTGTTGGAGGTCATCTGTTTGGCTGCGGCCTCGTCATGACTAAAAATGTATGGGCTATTACTTCTAGATATGGAGTCTTTGTCAGTGACACTGTTTTCCGACTCGCTGAGACGTCTCAGGCCAGCCTCATCTGATGCCAGCATCAGATAACTGCCGCCAACAACTGTTGCACTGCTGCTGGAACCCGAGTCGGAAGAAGCAGTGTGTGCATTTTCTACCATCAGCGTGTCAGACTTGACATTCTGAGAGTCTTCTCCACTGACGAAATGTGGACGACGCTGTCCACTATTGCTTTCAGAGCTGGAGATGATAATTCGAACATCACCGATACCCTCCCCATGCATATGCCCGACATGGACACTTTTATTGGCTAGGCTTGAGGCTTTACTGTGTTCCTGAAGATGTGATTGGCTATCATTATCCGCATCGTCAAGGAAGCTGACACTAAAGCTGTGATCGGCGATCGTTGGTGCCTTTTCTACAGTGGTCTGTCTGGAACTGGCTGGAGACACAAAGTAATTGGTGCTGCTTCCTTGGGTGTTCAGTAAGTGAAGTTCTTGATCGGCAAGCATGTTCTCATTAATGTCAGTGACCTCACTAGATATACGTTTTCTTCTCATTGGCATAAACAGATCATCAGAAGATGAATATTCCCTCCGCCTGCTCTCGTGAAATTCCCGCCGAATATTCTCAAATGCCCGCTCAGTTTCTAGGTTGGGAGTATCCAAACTGTCGGTGGACGACTCGGTGGTACTGAAGTAAGTCCCATGACCTAGGGAATCATCCTGCCCAGTATTGTCTCCAGGGCTTCTAGAATCATCAACTGATTTAGTTACCCACTCTCCACCTGGTGAAAATGGGTTTTCATCAGAATCACACATGCTCCAGTTATGGCGTGATTTGGTTTTCTGAAATATCTTTCTCCTAGATTCAGCACTGTTGTTGTTGGCTTCCAGCTTCCCTCTAGCTGTAATACTGATGTCTTCCTCTGGTTCAGCAAAACTACCTTTAGGCCAACCCTAAGGAAAAACAGGACAAGTTAGAATCGAGAATATGTATACCAAAAATATACATTTTGACAATATAAATCTGCACATGGGATCATATCAGAAGCTCTGTTGTGCGGTGTGGTATGAAATCATATATCTGGTGCTCTGGTGTATGGTGTGGTGTGAGGTCATACCTCTGGTGCCCTGTTGTGTGGTGTGAGATCATACCTCTGGTGCTCTGTTGTGTGGTATAAAATCATATTTCTGATGCTCTGTTGTGTGGTGTGAGATTATATTTCTGGTGGTCAATTTTGTGGTGTGGTGGGAAATCATACATCTGGAGCTCTGTTGTGTGGTGTGGTGTGAGATTATATCTCTGGTGGTCAATTTTGTGGTGTGGTGGAAAATCATACATCTGGTGCTCTGTTGTCTGGTGTGGTGTGAGATTATATCTCTGGTGCTCTGTTGTGTGCTGTGGTGTGAGATCATATCTCTGGTGGTCAATTTTGTGGTGTGGTGGGAAATCATACATCTAGTGCTCTGTTGAGTGATGCGGCACAAGATTATTTCTCTTGTACTTCGTTATGTGGTGTGGGCATGTGAGATTATATGTAGTGCTCAGTTGTGTTGTGTGGCATATGAGATATCCAGTGCTCTGTTGTGTGGTGTGGCATGTGAGATTATATCTAGTGCTCTGTTGTATGTGGTGTGACATGTGAGATTATATCTAGTGCTCTGTTGTGTGGTGTGGCATGTGAGATTATATCTAGTGCTCTGTTGTGTGGTGTGGCATGTGTGATTATATCTAGTGCTCTGTTGTGTGGTGTGGCATGTGATGATTATATATATCTAGTGCTCTGTTGTGTGGTGTGGGCATTGACCTGCTTCTCATAGAAACCTCTACTGCAACACACACAACAACATATGCACTTACACTCACAAACACTGCCTCACTGACCTGCTTCTCATAGAAACCTCTACTGCAACACACACAACAACATATGCACTTACACTCACAAACACTGCCTCACTGACCTGCTTCTCATAGAAACCTCTACTAGCCAGATATTTCTGATTAGCTGGATGAAGAATGCTGATTGGATGACCAGGATGTGGTTGCGCTCCGTTGCAGTTTGAAGAGGGACTGATGTGTCCTCTGGTGGGGGGTGATTTCAGTCGAAGAAGGGACAGTGTTCGGGCAAGAGTCCAGATTCCTGAATTGTGCGAAAGAAAATAGGTGTCAAATTACCAGTTATACTGACCAAATAGATTATGAAAACAGCTACCAGATAACCAGTTATACTGACTATATAGTTATAAAAAAAATTATCAGATCACCAGTTACAAAGACTATATAGTTATAAAAACAGCTTTCAGATCACCAAGTTATACAGTGTGCTGACAACTATAAAAATGGTTCTTAAGTCAACATTTACATTGACTACACCAATGGTTTACAGTTAGCTAGCACCTGTGAAACCCTCTTATGTTTGAAAATCTGGCACAAACCCTTTACTTTTTAATAGTCATACTGAAGAACTTATTAACTTTCATAAATACTCATATCAGAATCTTAAAAAGGATTATAAAGCTGTTTTTTTTTTTTTTTTTTTTTAATATCACGTGCCCCTTGAATCTCTTGCACCCCCCCCCCCCTTCCAGGGACCAGCAAATATGAAAGGGTGGGCTACACGTAATTATGGCAGTAACATCCTTATTCGTATTGACTACCCAGTTGTAACAATGGCTGTTACATTTACTATTTATTTACTGATAACGGCTAATTAGGTTACACCTAAAAGACTATCATTTCACAATTTACTTTGATCTAAGGCAGCTGCACAAATTGATATCACAATTTTTAATGAGATACATTCAGTTTTAACACTGCCGTCATACTATCACTATATTAACAACATACAATAATAAAACTACTGATCATATCACCGTACATATTGATTTAGAAAGTTATTAACACAGTTATCACATCAAAATATTCAATGCTGACATGTCACCATCTGACTACACAAATTAAAGTTATGAAAATAGCTTTGACCATTTATATTGACTACAAATAGTTATAAAAATAGCTATGTCATCATTAATACTGACTATACGGTTATAAAATTACAGGGATTTTTTCAACAATGATCTAAACTCCAAGGTTGACTCAGCCTAAATGGGTCCAAGGTCCATGTTCTCATCTGTTGCTATTTAATAAACTGTATGACTATTTTCAGCCCTTGTCCTCTTATATTTTCTTAACTCTTTAATTGTAACTCTTTTTATTAGGGTAATTAATGAGTTAAACAGGCACAACGGTATCAATTAGCATCTTTTTTAATTATAAATGCAAACAGAAAAACATCCAAGCAAAAATAAATTAAATACATAAATGAAACGAAAATTCAAAAGAATATGAAACAACAAAGTTAGTATAATTACAACAGTGTACAACTGATGAAAGTAAAGTTTAACTGAACTCAAAATAATTACAGTTATTTGATCATTCAAACAAACACTCACAGAATGTGAACCAAATTTCTCTTGGATGCTGGCAAAAATAATATGTGCAGGCATACAGCTCAGGAACAACAAGAACATCTGGAAGGGAGATAGGCAGTGAGAAAGGAGATTGACTCAGAGAAGGGAGATAAACGCAAGGAAGGGAGGTTAATACAGGGAAGGGAGATGAGAAAGGAAGATGGATATATAGAGACAGAAGATAAACACAAGTGAGTTGGACTCAGGGAAGGTAGATGGAAAGAGGGGAAGATGGACACATTAAGGGGAGATATTCATGGCATGGAGATGGATTCAGGGAGAGAAGTTGGATTCAGGAAAAAAGATGATACAGGGTGGGGGAGATGAACACTGTGGTTGGAAGAGGTATGGGGTGGGTGGATTCAGGAAGGAGAAAAGATGAACCTAAGAAGAAGAGATGGACTTATGGACTTTCGGAGTGTAGATGTACAGGAACACTGGGAGGGTCAAGGCAGAGAAAAGTGCATGTCTATAAAAAGGGGAGGATACATCAACACACAGACAGTAACACAAACAAAACTGGGAGCAGCTGGTAAAACACAGGTAGGGTCTACAACAAAATAAAATCTACACACTGGTTGGAGAAGCTAATGATATTCATGCCAGATTGTTTGTGACTTTTACCTGCAAAATGTCACTGCTTGATCTCTTTCTCTTGCAGGTCTTGTAACTTTATTATCATCCCTGTCTTTTAACGTCTCTCTTCCACACCCTTAAAACCTCATTATTATTTTCATCTGCATGTTCACCCTCTTCATCCTTAGCATTAAATCTCTTCAATAGCCACATCTGATGCAATGTACACATCCACACAATGTACAGCCACATTCAATACAATGCACACATGGTACAACGCACACATCCACACAATGTACAGCCACATTCAATACAATGCACACATCCACACATGTTCATTCACATTCAATACCATGCACAAATGTTACAATGTATACACCCACACAATGTACAGCCACATTCAATACAATGCACACATGGTACAACGCACACACCCACACAATGTACAGCCACATTCAATACAATGCACACATCCACACATGTTCATTCACATTCAATACCATGCACAAATGTTACAATGTATACACCCACACAATGTACAGCCACATTCAATACAATGCACACATGGTACAACGCACACATCCACACAATGTACAGCCACATTCAAAACAATGCACAAATGATACAATGTATACATCCATCACAATACACAAATACAATGTACACATTCACAAACTTAATGTGTATTGCCAAACTGATACAATGTACACATGATACAATGCACACATCTAACACAACAATATACAAAGTAAAAATTCACACGGACAATGTATACTGCCAAACTGATACAATGTACACATGATACAATGTATACATTTAAAAGAATACACACAAACAATTTTCATATCCAGACGCCCCCACATACAATATACACAGCCACATCTCATTCCGTAAAGAAAAACATCACTCACTGAACAATCAGCATCACATCCATTTACTCAGGATCTTGTCATTTTATAACATTTTCCTATAACAACATCTTAAACAATAATATAAATACAACACATTATTACAATAAGCCCGTTAGCCAACATGAGGTAAGTTTTGACAGACCCAACCTACAGTCTCGATCTGTTACCATGTGATTTTGATTTTTCGTTTCCCTTAAAAAAAAAAACCGCAGTGACGATGACTGTATCCTGACAGATATTATGACAGCAGTGACCAGGTTATTCAACTTAGCTTACTTCATCATCATCATCAGGTGCCTTGCCGACTGGCGTGGGCGATCATGCCTCTTCACAATCTGCGATCTCCTGCAGCATGTATCGGTTCATGTGCCGACATCTCCATGCCATGCAACAAGACTGTCAAGAATCTTATCATGCTGTCTTCCTCTATCCCTCTTTCCACAGATCTTTCCAGTGGTCACAACATGTTCCATTTTCCCTCTTCTCATAACATGGCAAAAAAAATGATAACTGTCTCCTTCTTATGTCTGTGATAAGTTGTCTTTGGGCTCCTGCCTCTTTCAAAACCTCTTGGTTGCTCTTTTTTGGCTGTCCAAGGTATTCTAAGCATTCTTCTGTAAAACCACATCTCTGAGGCCTCAAGAAATTGTTTGGCCTGCCTACTGATTGTCCAGGATTCACAGCCATATGTTAAAACTGGATGTATGTAGCAAGCAAGAATTCTTTTTCTAACTCTCAATGACAAGGATATATGCACAAGATGTTCTTCATTTTATAAAATGCAGTTTTTGCCTGTCCTATTCTGTTTCTTATCCTAGTAAGCTTACTTAGGAGCCACAATTTTGAAAATGGGGATCATCACGGGCCAGAGGCTCAAGGTCCAGCAAATCATCATCATTATCATCAATTTCCATTTCAGCCATTAAGCACTGTGGGGAGAACAGATAGCAATCCATTGCTTGATGGGCAGCATTGGCTCTTGTTGTTCCGTGTTTATATAAAAGCTCTTTAATGTCATCAAACCATCTTCTCCTAGGGCGACCTCTTGCTTTCACTTCAGATCTTTTCAACTGTAGCGCCTGCGTTGGTAGTTTTTTCTGACTGCATTTTTACTAAATGACCAAACCATTTGATCTTCTGTTTCTCAACAAATTTACTACAGGGTGTTTTCCTACGATATGTCTGATAATATCATTTCTAACTTTATCTCGGATGGTTGAGCTGGCGGTTTTTCTCAGGCACCTCATTTCACATGTGTCAATTTTACAAAGTACATTTAAAATATATTAAACTTAACAATCTTTACCCCTTAAATCTTTTACTATAGATAATTATCTATGCAATATTAAATAAACAAAAGTGATTGACAAACATAAATATTCATTATCGAAAAAGAAAAAAAATCTCTCTCTCTCTCTCACTCTCTCTCTCTGGAACAGGACTGCAGTCTAGAAGTGGACGAACAACCAGAACTTTCTACCGGAGTTTACAGCTGGTGAACGCAAAGAAGAAGAGGATAACACAATCACAGGTGACCTACACACACAGGGGCCAAAATCACAACCGCCGTAGGAAACACATATTTGATTGGAATGCTTTAATAAGCCCTGACTAAACATAAGACGCACAAACATATTAACACTGACTAGCACACGTAAGTTATATACAGTCACATGTGGTAATTTTTTTTCTTAGGTACTGAGAAAGTTAATTAGAAAATTACCCAGTACCCCTACTATCTGAAACTGAACAAACAGACAGATGCAAAGATACATTTAGAAAATTAAATGACTACTATGCTTTAAACTGTTACACAACGGATTAAACTTGCAAAAATCTTTTAAATTTTTTTTATGTTCTCTCTTTTTAACTTTTTATTCTGCTTCTACCACCTCCTTATTTGAATAATCCCCCCCCCCCCCCAATGCACTATAAAGATTGTTGCAATGGCTCCCAACTGCATCAGAAGCTAACACCACCAGACTGGATTGTTCTATCATTCTCTCATCCACCAAAAAGGGTGATAAATTCCACTTTGTGAAACTAGGAAATAGGGGGGTCAGTCAGCATGAAGACGAGCTGTCAGCATGTGATTCATGTATAACTACTGGTGCTGTATACAATGATAGGTCATTAGATGCAGTCGTTAGATGCCTATTGGCTCGCTGGTAGACGATTTGGTCACCGGTCGGGACAGTATTTAGGTCTGTCTCCTCTGCCTGCACCAACACTGCAGGAGTCCTTTTTAGGGCTCTTGGTGGCGTGCAGTGCTAAGCCATTTTATATGGTGCACATAACCCAGTCACAATTATAACCCAAAGCTCCCCCTTCGGGAATGCTGGTTGAACGTGATGATATATATATTTTTTTAAAGAAAAGCAATGGAACGGAACGATGATAGGTTTGCTCATCTGCCAGGATGCATTTGGTCAACTGATGAACTGATCGGGGACATGTGATCTACAGATGAACTGAGTGGCGATGTGTGATCACCAGACCAGTTGGGTGGGAATGTGTGATTAACACAAGGGTAATATGGGAATGCACAGTCAACAGGTGAGATGTCTGGTCGAGTGTGGCCAAGAGGCAGACTGTGTGGGAATTTCTGGAGAACAGATGACTTGTGTAGAAATGTTTCACTCATAGATGAGTGACATGGGAAAATATGGTCAACAGATAAGTTATGTGGACGTATGTGATCAAATAATGAACTGTGTGGGAATGAGTAGTCAACTGATGAGTTCTGTGGATATGAGTGAGACATAGAGAAACTGTGTGGATGTGTATGGTCAACTGATGAACTGTGTGGGTGTACTTGATGGACAGAAGAGTTATCTGCTTGTGAGTCACATGTGGACAAGGAATGTGGGTAACTGTAATCCACAGACGAACTGTTGAAATTTTCACGGACTGATTTATTGGATCGATGTGACTGGTATGTAGATGACTCCAGAGGGTCTAAACAGCCTGTGGAATAGCTGTGTGTGTTTACGCAGAATGACAAGCTGCGCGGTGGTGGGGTCGTGGGATCATCAAAGATGAGATGTTCCCCATCATGACACCATTCCAGCTCAGCATGCCCAATATCCTTCTCTTCGCTATCCTCATCAACGCTGGCCAGCAGTGCCGATATGTCCCTGTCTGCACCATCTTCTAAGCTGTCAGTTTCATCATGCTTCTCCTCAATGTCAGTGCCTCCATAATCTTCACTATTATCACTGAAATCATCATACAGATCTTCGTAATAGTCAGCACTGTCCTCAAAGATGTCCTCGATGTTATGGGAACCATGCACAGGGTTCGTATAAGAGCACTGCTCCAAGTCATTATGTTCATGAACAAGGTCTCTCTGTCTGAGTTGACAGGCTACTGTGTCTCTCTCCAAATGATCACAAGCCACAGTGACTTTATGTATACTGTGTTTCAATGGAGGAGAGTCAAACCTGGACTGCTCCAAGTTGACATGTTTAGGAACATTAATTCTCTGTCTAAGATCACAGGTGACAGTGTTCCCCTCCGTGAGACCACAAGTCATATTATCTTTTTGAGTTCTGTGTTTCAACTGAGGAGAGTTAAATCTGCTGCCACAGGGTGAATACTCGGCTGGAAGATCTGCTGATGGCCTGTCATGATGATAGTCAAGATGAACAATTTCCCTGAAGAACGACGGATCAGTAATGTCCACACTTGCTCCTGGACTGTGGTGTTGATGCTCTAACTGGACATCTCTAGAGAATGGAAGACTGATCCCCAGTTTTGATGCTAGGTTTGAGTAGGAAGACGTCAAATTCTGGTACAGCAATTTGATAGGTGAGGAATGTGAACTGTAATTGGTTATCTCCTCACTGTCATGATTTCTAATGGCCCCAGTGTCTTGTATATGTGTACAGTCAGTCCCCAGCATACTATTGGCTGTGCCATCCGGTAAACTGCTGAATTTCTCTGTTGCTAACTTTACAAGCTGTCTACTAAGGAACAGGCCGAATCCCTTGCTTCTCATGTGGGTCAGCATCTCATCTGTGAATGGCTGAAGTGTTTGCTCTTCTGTATCTTGTAAACTGTGTGTTTGTTGAACAAATGCTGGCATCAGCTCTGATGAAAAATCTTTGGTCTGAGCATCTTTAGCTGCCCACCTGGATCTCACCGTACCTCGTGATCTTCTTGTACTTGCTTGAAATGTGTTTACAGGATTTCTACTGCTCATGACTGTTTCCTCTTCTATTTCATTAGAGTTTTCACTCTCTCTATGCCTATGATGTCGTAGATATCCATGTTTATTTTCCCACACTGCGGAGTCCTCTTTGAAATCATCTACTAGTCTTTCCACTTCACCCACACACCTCTCATCTTCATCCTCATCAAGGTAGTCACCGGCAGTGAGAGTATAGTAACATCCTGATCGCTGATCATTAAAAAAATACAAGGGAACATCTTTATTCAACAAAGTGACCAAGTCCACATAACCGTGGCCCGATTGGAAGTATGATCCCTGCAAACTAAACCCACCTGTGCGTCGTTTTGGCTGCGATGCGATGGTTGCTGTTGGTGCTGATACCGGGGCTTTGTCTGGCCCAGGCAGCGCTCCATCTGTGCTGTCTGTGGTCACCTCCTCTGGCAAGTCATCACTCAGGCTGGGTGGAGCAATGCCATATGCTCGGGATGGATGGTTAAGAAACCGGTCTGGCACCCGTGCCAAAATTGGCATCATATGTCGGGACTCTCCGCCAAAGCCCAAGTTCAGCAGCATTTCCTCAGGATCAACCTGTCTGTCATTCAAGAGTTGCTCCAGGCTAAGATAAAAACACAAATATAACCCATCACTCAGATGTTATTATTCACAATGTAACTATCACGGAGAAAACTAGACTAACAGTGAAGCTAGTCTTTGTGTTTCTCAAATAATTTTAGGAAACAAATAGATAACTCGACTTACAGTAGAACTAATTTCTGTGTACTTGTGTCTAGGAAGTTAACTCAATAAACAGATAAACAATAAAGCTAATCTCTGTGTCCTTGAGTAGGAAATGACTAAATAACTAGATTAACAATAGAACTAAACTATGTGTCCTTGAATCTAGATAACAACTAAAGAATTTGACTAGAAATAAAGCTAATCTCTGTGTCCATGAATCTATAAAACATCTTAATAACTAGACTAAAAATAGAGCTGATCTCTGTGTCCTTGAGTCTACAAAACAACTTAATAACTAGACTAAAAATAGAGCTGATCTCCGTGTCCTTGAGTCTACAAAACAACTAAATAATTTGACTACTAATAGAGCTAATCTCTGTGACCTTGAGTCTACAAAATAACTGAATAATATCTCTGTGTCCTTGGGTCTAGGAAATAACCAAACAACTAGGCTAACATTAGAGCTATACTATGTGTCCTCAAGTCTAGGAAGTAGCTAAATAACTAGACTAACAATCAAGCTAATATCTGTGTCCTTGATTCTAGGAAATAACCAAATAATTAGACTAACACAAAAGCTATTCTATATGTCCTTGAGTCTAGGAAACAATTAAATAACTAGACAAACGATCGAGGTATTCTCTGTGTTAACTCGACTAACAACAGAGTTAAAATCTGTGTGTTTGATTTAGGAAATAACCAAATAATTGGACCAACACTAGAGCTTTTCTATGAGTCCTTGAGTCTAGGAAACAAGTGAATAACTAACTAACAATAAAGTTATTGTTTTTGTCTCTATAAGACATCAACGCTAGCCACTAGGTGCTAATGTAGTCAGACACATCTGACTGTACATTTTCCTCTGAATTATCATGCATTGAATTATTATAACTACACTATGCACGACAAATGATGCCAGTCCTACCTGGCACTTGACGCTGATGTATGATTGGACACGTCTGAACTGAAACTCTGCCAGCCCATGATGTTTTGGGAGATCGCTTTCGACCATGCTGATCTTTCATCGTCAGTGACTGGATATTTGCTGCAAACAAACAACAGCAATATTTATTTTTCACAACTTGTACCAACACAGGCAGCCATAATAAGGTATTAACCACAAGCCTGTTGTGGGCTAACTGTGACTTGAGGGTTATTAACAATTTCACAACCCTGACATACCAGGTTCAAATCTGCTGCCGTTGATTTGGAAGTAGACTGTTTTGCATTGATTTTAATAATGGTATCCCCCGTGTGGGTTCCGGGGCCCCATTGTGGGGAAAACAAGAATAGACCCACTGCCTCCCCAAAAGCATGTCGTAAGAGTCGACTAATTGGGGAGCTTCCTTTGAAGCCGGAGTGCATCTGCCGGAGAGGCAAGGAACCAACAGTCTGTATTCAAGAGAATGAGATCTGTAAAACTGATGCACACGCAACACTCAGGTTCTGGAGCAGGACTGCAGTTCAGTAGTGGACGAGCAGCCAGAACCTTCCGCCAGAGTTTACAGCTGGTGAACGCGAAGAAGAAGAAGAAGAATAATGGTATAAATGTTGAACAATTAGGAAAGCAATGGCATAACTTCTAGAAAAAACTGCATAGTAAGTGGAATTACTGTTGAGATAAATTACCACAGACTGCTAGTGAAATTAACAAACTATCAGAGCATTTACTGAATACATGAGTTTAATGAATGAGAAAAGTATCCATGAAAATTATCTTGAAAAGCATCAGTAAAAACTTTCAGAAATTATTAGTGAAAACTTTCTCAACAAATATCAGTGAAAAATCTCTCAATAACTGTCAGTGAAAAATCTCTCAATAACTGTCAGTGAAAAATCTCTCAATAACTGTCAGTGAAAAATCTCTCAACAAATGTCAGTGATAAATCTCTTAGTGTCAGTGAAAAATCTCTCAACAATTGTCAGTGAAAACTCAACATTATTGGCCAAAATTATCTCAATAATTATTAGTAAAAATTCAGCTATTGTCAGTGAAAACAGAAAACAAATGTGTGCTCACAGATCACATTTCAACTGATCTCATGAGAGAACACAACCAGAACTCAAACAATTTGTCAGTTTATCTCATACCTGCACACATGATAACATGATCACACCTGCAGACTAACAAAATATGAAAGATAAAAAACAATAATTAAAAATCCCATAAAATCTCAGAAAACATACATAAACATTGTAATCTCATATTTCTATATACAAACGAATTTCCCCTATGTTACTATATAATTATTGTGTGTTTTATCTCACATTTCTATATATGAACCAATTTTTACGTAATGTTTAAATTTAAAAAAAAATGTAAGTAAATTTTACCCCACCAGGACATCGCACAAAGCAATAAACATCCGGTGACACAAAGTGCCAACATGCAGATGAGGATCCCCAGTGGAGAGGTCCAGGTTTAAAAAATTTAAATCCTACCCCAGATGACGTCACAGGACAGTTCAACATTTTAGAGGGTGGTAAGACTGGGTTTCCTGGCTTTCTGATGCTTTTAACGACCCCAAAACATCTAGAACTAACCCCAACCCACCTACGTCCCACGAGAGAGTGCAGCCTAGGTCCCACGACTGCATGCAGCCTACCACCACCTGAAATATCAGACTGTACCGTGACCTGTGGATTTCCCCTGTTTGGGGTAGGATATTAATAAAGCACCGGTCCCGGAAACCAGGTTCAACCATTAGGTTATATTGCGGCCCCTGGCAAAAGCCAGGGTGGGGCATCAAAATATAGAAAAATTGCATCCTTCAAGGGGGTGATAAGGAGTAATTTTTTTTTTTAAATGGTGTGTTGTCATCTCATCTATACTATAAATAACAAACCCTTTCTGTATTTCACGTGTTCATTTTAAATAAACTGTTAACTCCTCCTAGACCATGACCAATACATGAGTTAACTTTTCATTAGTCATTATGGCTACAATGTTTAATTTAACAGACACACTGGCAATCAGATTACTGTGCATTTCTGTTATTTATTGCGACAATCAGTAAAAATTAACTTTCTCTGAGTTATATCCCTTTGAATATCTTTTTTTCTGATGTCACCTCAAATTTAAAAAAAAAATTTACATTTTGTCATTATATCCCTTGAAATGTAGATTGTAGGATAGGGGCATTGGTGGAGGTTGTTTGCATTATCAGTCAGACTTTGGGGATTGCCAACATGCCAAATTTTAACCCTGAGTCACATCCTGAGTCACTGCCCCATCACTGCAAAGGGGCGCTTACGTGGTGGTAGCACTAACTATGGTAAGAACTGGTCTAGGATGCTCCTCCCACTCCCCCCCGGGCTGTGACTCAGAGACCAGCTCCTACACCCTGTAGACACGCATTGAAATGGGACATTTATGGGTTTAAGAAACAAGGGCGTTTAAGAGAAACTTAAAAGTGGAAGGCTCATGTTGTGCTCACTCCTCCATGGAGTTTCTACTACATATATAACAGTGGAGAAGACCAAGAATAGAATACAACTTTCTTTCATTATCCCGGGCGAAGCCTGGCAATTAAATCTAGTATTTCTATATAACAATTGTATATCGTTAACTCATATTTGTATATCTAAATTAATTTTTCTCTTTCATATGACTATTGACAATTGTAGATTATTATCTCATGTTTCTATATATGAACTACTGTTCCCTCCGGTTTTTAAATAACTAGACAGATTTGTTGTTTGATATCCCTATATAATTATTTCAGACACTTGCAGCCTAAGACAGACTCAAAATGAAATAAGCTGAAATAGTTAAATTCTCACCTGTTGTAATCTGTGGCAGGCTCCAGACTGAGGCTGTGAGCTACAGGAAGATATAACATGAAACATGGGTTATTATAAGATGAACTGGGAGGCAGAGGTTCATCATCACCTGTGGTGCTGAATCAAGACCACGGCGCACACTGGTCAATACCTATCTACACCTCTGTGTGGTCATCCCAGAAACAGGTTACCTGTTGGGATCAACATTTGCTTTTAAGTCGGAGTGCCGCTGTTGGGATGTGAAGAACTACCTTATTTTTCCTTGTATAAGACAACCATAAAACGACCTCAATTTATTGTTGCAAAATATTCAGAAATAAATATTTAAAGCAAAATCTGTGTATAACTGACCCTCAATTGTAACCTTAAAAAAATTTGGAACTACCATATTTTCCCATGTATAAGACAGCTCAAAGTAAAATAAAACCCCTATTGTTTTTAGCCAAAATTAAGAAATAAATATTTTAAACACAAACAAGAAATACAGGAAGTAAGCTGAATAGCCACAACAGATCAGAGTGTCTATATAATGAGAAAAAAGGTGATCACTAAAATATTTTGTCCATGCTAAATGTCACGGCGGCCTGGAGAAAACAGTGATGGGGGTAGAGTTTCGATATAATGATGCAGAGGCAGACCTCCGTGAATGTGGATACAAGAAACTGAAGATGTATTGGCACACAGGGTTAGAAAGCTGGCTAGAGAAAGAGAGACTAACTTTTCAGCGTGCTGTGAGGATAGTGATGTTAAGTAAATGACCGGTTGATTGATGATGACTGTAAGATGAAAACCTGCAAGTTTAAAACACTCCTGGTTAGTCTTATATCTTAAAGTTACATAGCTCCATTGTTCTCTAATCCATGGCAACCGTGAACCTCCTATAACCCATGACTGTACTGCAGACCTGAAGAGACTGCAGCATTACTGTCTTCATTAAAATAAATTTCATTGCCCTATAAAATAAGAATCCTTAAAAGGTTATCACAGGTGAAACCAAGCATGACTGCGATAATGGTGAAGCATAAGCTGGAAAATACCTGCAGTCAAGCAATCAGAAACATTAATTTTGCCCTGGCTCAGATGAAAACAGATTAGCACATTGTATCTCTACTTTGGCAAAATATACTGAGAGTATGTCTCAATCTCTACGTTGCCAACATACTGCAGGTATGTGTATACTTTGCTAATAAATTGAAGGTATATCTCAACTCTACTTTGCCAACACACTGCAAGCATGTCTTGTCTCTACTTTGCCAACAGACTGCATGTATGTTTTTCTTCTACTTTGCCAAAGCACAGCAGGTATGTCTTGTCTCTACACACTGCAGATAAATCATGTTAAGAAGACTGGATACACCAGGATACAAGAAATCAATGAGAGATTTTAAAATGCCCACATTTTTGTTCTCCATTGTTGTTCTAACAAAAACTGTGCAAGTTTAGTTTTCTTGATGTTAAGTTATGCTATTCCCATGCATGCTCAGTCTCATTATGCAGCAGCAACCCTAATCTACCTTTACTATTTACATACAAAGTCAATTCTGAAATCTATCTTGACTTTGAAGATGGCGCTGCAGTGCTTCCTTAGGCTTTATTTGCAGGTGATATAGTCAGGTTAGTGTCAAAGGACTTGTCAACAGCCAAAAAATGCTAGGGTTGGTTCTGCAATGTCCTGTAAAGGATACACAACTAACTAGCCCTAGTCCATACAGCGTTGATTGTATCAGCCATGTCCATCCGGAAAATTCCTAAGAATTTGATACAAAATCTTGAAGAGAGGGTCATCTAGAATTAAAGTACCTGATATTCTTGTAACTCACAGATACGTAAACCCCACTGATTCCTAAACTGCACAGTGATTTAAATCACAAGGATCATAAACATTACTATAAAAACTAATGTATTTCATATTTTTGCAAAAAACACAGATAAATCCCCAAGTATCATAAACTGCCACATTAAAAAAGCCCTCATGTGTTTTAATGTTCCACATATTTACAAAAACACAGGTTATCATAAACCACAACAATAAAAATCCATCACATGTTTCATATTCTTGTAAAAACCACATTCAGATAAACCACATTTTTACACAAACTACACAGTATCCTAAAACACATTTATAAATATCCATCATGTGTTTTACGTTCCTGTGAAAAACACAGATAAATGAATAAACCACATATGTATACAAACCACAATGCTTTCTTGTCTTTATTCTTCTTCTTCATCGTTCGTCTTCATTCAAGTAGTAGGATAAATCCTGCTACTCTGATAAAGTTCCCCAGACTCGCAAATACATCTATGTATGCTTATATAAGAATTTCTTAATGCTTCCAGCAAGTAGAAAGAGGATTTATATATGTGTATATTCAATGTATTTTTTTAACCTTCTGAGAACTGTGCCAAATGTAAGGTTTTGGATAAGGGAAGGGGGGAGTGTGTGTATATGTGTTGGCAGGATGTGAAAGCCTCCTGTCTGTGGGAACTGTGGGAGAGAAATCAGCCAGGTGAAACCTCTTTTTATTTATTTGTTTTGTTAGATGCCCTGACAAAAGCCCCCAGCATAGTTAAGTTGTATTTCAAGTTCAGCCTTGCCAAGATAAACATGGAATAAATGTTCACATGAAGATCACACAAAATGTGGCACTGGTGGAACAGGTTTCCTTGTTCAGCCTGTTACAAACCATGCTGGCACTTGGGTAAAGCATGTGCTAATGGCTACTACAGACTGAGAAATTAGCAATATACAGACAGTACTTGGTGGTAAACAAGCAGGCAGTTTCAGTCTGTTCCAGAAGTTGTGCCCAGATTTAAAAATCTGTAACCCAGTAACCGATCGGTGTCATCATCAGCAGGTTTCTTGCCGACTGGCGTGGGGGATCATGCCTCTCCCAAATCTGTGATCTTCTGCAGCATGTATTATTTCGTATGCTGACAAACCTCCATGCCATGCAACAAGACTGTCAAGAATCTTCTCTCGTTGTCTTCCTTTATCCCTCCTTCCACAGATCTTTCCAGTGGTCAAAACACGTTCCATTTTCCCTCTTCTTCTAACATAGCCGAAAATGTATGACTGTCTCCTGATGTCTCTGATTAGTTGTCTTCTGGCTCCCGCCTCTTTCAAAATCTCTTGGTTGCTCTTTTTGGCTCTCTAAGGTATTTTAGGCAATCTTCTGTAAAAACCGTTCGGTATAAAATGTTTAAATTTGCCACGCAACCTGTTAATAATCATGTCCTTGTAAGACAAATTTTTTTTTAATGTAAACAAATATCTAGTTTTCATTTTGCCTTATTTGCGGTATATGAAAAAAAATAGAGAGATTTCAAGCAAACAGCCAGCATGCTTGAAGTTAACTGGGTAATGAAAACTTTTCAAAATAGCAAACTGCACGTTTTTTTAAAGGCATTCCACTCTCAAGTGGTCATCTCCAACATTAACCTTCCGTGGGTTAGATGAATACAATTTTGCACTGTGTACAGGACAGGCTATCAAAGTAAATCATGAAGCATCACTGCAAATATGATATAATTTCCAAACAATCTACACGCAAATGTCAATTACTGTATATTCTTAATGATAAAGGGCAAAAGAAGAAAAGGGGGGGGGGGGTGTGGGGGCGCATGAGTTAATGCAGTACAAGAACTAGTTAATGTATAATACAGTTGAAAACTAGACACACAACAAAAAACTTAATAATATATACAGTACTACAAAACCCTCTACCCTGCCTCCCAGCAAGTACATACCTTCACTCCCCAATGGCAGATCATCATCACATCCATTCTGTTTGTTGTTTCTGGGCTCAGACTTGCCAGCTTTCACATTACCTGTAAAGTCAGTGAATATGATTTGAGAGGGAGAAAATTTTCCAAATCAAGAAAATGACAATAATGAGGGCTAGGATAACATAGTCCAAACCAAGAGAAAGACAACAATAATGGTTAAGAGAATATGTCCAAAGAGAATGACAATAATGATGGTTAAGAGAACATGTTCAAACTAAGAAAAGGACAACAATGATGGTTAAGAGAATATGTCCAAACCAAAAGAATGACAATAATGATGGTTAGGATAAATGGTCCGAACCAAGAGAATGACAATAACGATGGTCAAGAGAATATGTCCAAATTAAGAGAATGACAATAATGATGGTTAGGATAACATGGTCCCAACCAAGAGCATGACAATAATAATGGTTAAGAGAACATATCCAAACCAAGAGAAAGATAATAATAAAGGCTAAGCCACATCGCCCAAAGCAAAAGAATTACAATATTTAAGGTTAGGAAAAGATGGTTCAAACCTATAGAAGAACAATAATCAGGGCTAGGAGAACATGGTCCAAAACCACGGTTAAATGAGGAGATAACATTTATGTGAACTAGGTTAACAGAATGATTAACACGTATTTAATATCTGTTTAAAAACTGAAAACATAAATCATGAAAAAAGATACTATCAAAATGTTAACATATTAAGAATTTTACATACATGAAATCAATCTGACAAAGTGTGGTAATCATTTCTTTCTCAAATATGTGTTAAAAATGAAAATATACAGTGCTGGTGCACTGTACATATTCTTCTTCAGCGATCTGTGGTTATGCGCTTAATTCAGTGTGGGCCACAAATTGGGATATTATATCAAGGTCTCTTAGGTTTCCCCAAAGCTTAGTTGTCAGGTCTACATGCTGATTCACAGCTCCTCCAGGAAAGGAGTCTTGCAGGACATGTTCTAGATTCTGTTCAGCATGAAGACACTGACAGACAGCTGTCTGGCTCACACCTAATTTATATAAGTGTTTGAGACTGCAGTATCCAGTGTGTAAATGAAAATATTATGACTAAGTCTGTTCTGTTCAGCTGATTGAGCAAACATTTTCCATTGTTATAACCTGTGTTTGTTTTCCAAACTTTTTCTGATTTTCTCTAAGGGTTTTGGCTTCTAGAAAAGACAGTGACAAGTAGATCTGTCATTTGCTGCCTTTCTTTGCTGAAAAGCATCAGTGTTTTCATTGCCTTGCACTATGTATATGGTGCACGGCCCATTTAATAGACCAATCTGACCTCAATAGGTGATGTGGTCAATAAACGTGACTGTCTTTTCTTCCTAGAACTTGTCCAGGTACCTATTTTACGCTGGGCTGAACTGGCAGCTTTTCCCATGTGGGTTCTGGGATCTCACTGTGGGAGGTTGGGGGGGGGGGGGGGGGGGGGGGGGGGGGGGGTAGAGATAAGAATAGATCCACTTCCTCCCTAACAAGCATGTTGTAAGAGTTAACTAATTAAGGGTTTCCTTAAAAGTCAGAGTGCATTTACCTAAGAGGTAAGGAACTAATAGTCTGCATACAAATAAGCCTGGTCTGAAAACTGATGTACACACAAAAATCAAGTTTTGGATCAAGACTACAGGCCATAAGGGATCAAAAACCAAAATCTTCCGCCAGAGTTTACAGCTGGTGAACGCTAGAAGGAGAACTAGAAGCATAACAACCTGAAAGACTGATCAAAAGAAATCAAGGGTAAGGCAAAGAGATAAATACCAGGATGGCGTAGCTATATGGATGGGGTGAGACGAGAACACTGACCTCATTCCTGCTTGTTGTGATTACGTAAAATGGAAAAATATGACAGCCTAAATTCATCAGGATGGCAAATGACGATAATGACAATGAAGATGACCCAGAAGCTCTATGTAAGTTTGAACAACTCCACCTTGAAAATCCACCCCAGAACTTTGAGTCCATGAACGAGCATTTAGCCACTCTACCATCATAGCTACAAAAATTAATGACTATTTTACATGGTCTCTGGGAAGTTAATTCGGTCAACAAATGCCCAATGAAGTCAGAAACATCGGCCAAAAAGGCGCAAATATTGCAGCTTTTATGTAAACAGGCACAACGCACTTATATCACTTGGACGAACAAAAAGTAGATTTTACGTGGTCTTGTGACCAACAGAATAGACAGAGCACTGCTCTTCTCATCCAGCAGCTTCTGCAGCATGCTTTGCTCAAAACATATTGGTGTTGCCTTTCCTCTGAAGTAAACAAGGCAGTCTGAGAGAGGGATCGTGCTGCATGAGCAACACACGACCTCAACAATACAATACTGCCTAGGCTCTGTGCTATGGAAAAGAGGCACTTCATCCTTAGCCTTAACCATGGACTGTGCTGTGATTTCCATGACTCTTTGTAGCTCAACAGAAAGCTGTCCTCTTGAAGGACAGATAGGTGTCAACAAAATGTAATCAACAGATTATGGGCTCATCATACAAGTTCATCTTCTTAAAGTCCATGCTGTGTGGGGTTGGTAGTCATGTCTTTCCACTACCTTATGTCTTGTGTACTTTCAATCAACTCTGATACAGATTATTCTCGATGTCATGTCAAACTGTCCAGTATCTTTTCTCTCAGTCTCCCTCTGCCTCTACTCCCCTCCAATTTTCCTACTGTCATGATGTACTCCAGTTTTCTTTTTCTCATCACATGACCAAAATGTAGTTTGTCTTTTTCAGTGTGGGCAATCAGTTCTCGTCGTGAGTCAAGTTTCTGTCAAAATGTCTTCATTACTCTGTTTATTTGTCCAGGGTATTCTCACCATTCATTTATAAAACCACATCTTCACACCTTCTAAACAAGTTTTCGCTAATTTATTAACTGTCCATGACTGATTTCCGTATATCAAGATAGGATTTATATAGTTTTAACCATACACACATATTACCTTTCACTTTAACCTTTGCACTCAACATCTTGGCAGCAATGCCTGCAAATCCATCTCCACCACTTGAATTCAAACGCTCTGTTGGTGATGTTACTTTCTCTACTCGCCCTGGCGGCTTTCCATTGGAGGTTGAACTGGAAGTAGCGGGAGTGTAACTGGAGGCAGTGGTACCTTCTTGTTGCGCCCTTTCTCCTTCTTCCATGTTGCCGTTCAAACAGAAATCATGACTGAGCTGATCTGACTCCTGCAAAAATAAAATGTGATAATATAAAAAAATATTAAAATGTTGTTAAGGCTTTTGATACAATCAAATGTGACAATATAAATCAATCTTTGAAACTATGTTTAGAGTTCTAATACAATCAAAGGTGACAATATAGATCAATCATTGAAACTCTGTTTAATGTTCTGATACATTCAAAGGTGACAATATAGAACAATCATTAAAACTCTGTTTAATGTTCTGATATAATCAAAGGTGGCAATATAGATCAATCATTAAACTCTGTTTAAAGTTCTGATACAATTTAAGGTGACAATTTAGATCATTCACAGAAACTCTATTTAGACTTCTGATACAATCAAATGTGACAATATAGATTAAACATTGCAACTCTTTTTAGAGTTATGATACAATAAAATGTGCCAATACAGAATTATGTTTAGACTTCTGATACAATTAAATGTGACAATACAAATAAATCATTGACAAAATGATTATAGACTTCTGATATAGTCACTAATTACTGATTTAAGAATCGACATCATAGCACACTGGGCATACCCACAGGTACTCCGTCTCCCGCAGCAAATATCTTGTGCAGAAACTAACTGTTCCTGTAGCACACTAATTATACATGTGCGTTTTTGTGCACGTAAAAAATCCCTTGGCAGTTGGAAATCGAAAAGAGTAGCCTAACAGCGCTGCCCAAGCCAAATTTAGGGTTAAAAATCTACCCAAAGTATTTCAGGATCCTTACTGGTGCTACAAAGCCTGTGCACTGTGCTGAGTTTCTTCGGACTCAGATTTGAGTTAGAAAAAGAATGGATCACTTATGGGTTACTACCCTTGTGCCATGACGTTGATCCACTGTTCAAACTTCAACTGATTATACATACATTCTTCTCTTCCTCTCATCCATCCCTCTTGCCGGATCCACACTTAGTTCCTCATTCACACATTCTTGCACATGTTATTTCATCTAATCTCATGTCTTCTGTCAACAGTTGTTCACATATGGTCTTCAGAATATCTTCCTTGTCCAGTATGAGTGTTCTCGTAGCCTTTGCTTTTGTATCCAGAAAATCCACTCTTTCATTCCCTCGCACTCCTGCATCTCCCGGACAGTATATCCACATGATTCCCTGCAATGTTGGTGTACTGATGTACAGTATCGACTCATGCCACATTAGTTCATTTTGAACTTTCCGCAGTGGCAACAGAGAATCAGACATAATAATTCCTTTGGTAACTGTTTTCTGCTATCCGATTCAGAGCTGCTGTGATTGCCTCCACATCCATTCTCATGCTTGAAGTTGTAAATTTAAAAAAAAAGCTGAATTTTGTTCTGCCACAATCTTGCCATTCATTCTAGCTGAAAATCCCCAGCCAGGTCTTACACCCTGATACACAGAACAATAGGTGTACTCTACTGCATCATCTAGCCCAGCCTTTCCATCTATCAGTTGTTGTACCTCTAATTCTGCCATACTGTTACACCACTCTCTACATTCTCTTCCTAATGTGATAATGACCTGATGGAAACTGCTGTTGGTGTTCGTGTTGACCCATTCCTGCCCCCTATGTATTTTGCTTGACTGAGGCCATCTTGATGGTATCTTCAGCTTGTGCCATCCATGACTTTCCTCTTTTCAACCGGTCTCCTCTTAAATTGTTCAGATTACCCTGTAGGGGATGCCTTTCATAACTGATAACTCACATTTGGCTTTGGCTTGCACCAGTAACAGTCTAGACTTGACCAATGTCAGCCCAAGCATATACCTCATTGTTCTAATTTGGGTATCTCTTGTGCAACCCAAGATGATTCTTATTCCTTCATTTTGAATCCTTTCAAGCTTTGTACACTATGAAGTTGACAGGGTAATATTTCTAAGTCATAATCAGTTATAGAAAGGACCAAAGGGCTGAACAATAAGACCAAAAATCTTTTGTTCCATGTGTATCGCTACCATCATCTTCATGGCCGCTAGGCCATGCTTGCATTTGATCAAAGTCTGCTCCATGTGATATCTGTAGGACAGACTTCGATCAAACGTCAAACCTAAGTACTTCAGCATATCTCTTCTTTCAACATTAATACCCTTCATGGATATGCTGGGCAAGTCTTCCCTTCCAATGCTGTTATTTAAAGAGCACCACAAAACACTGGCCTTCTCTGGGTTTACCCTTGACCCTGTCTGTTCACACCACTCTGTCATCTCATGCAAAGCACTTTCCAAGTTTATGGTCATGTTTTGCCTGTCTGACCCGCTTCGATACATTAGGACATGATCTGCTAATGTCAAAGTTCACCCTGGTCAAGTAGGCTGAATTTTTGCCCAGACATGCTGTCTACATGTTAAACAAGACAGATGACAATGATGATCTCTGAGGAAGGCCAGGGCAAAACAAAATACCACTGTTCTTTCCAACAATGCTGCCCCCATCCAATTAGCTAACCAGGGGTTCACACCAAGTCCATTACGCACTGCATAAGGTATGTGAAGTCAATGCTGTTATAGGCATCTTCAAGATCTATCGCGACAGCGACTGTTTCTTGCTTTCGCTCAAATCCTTCGTGCACATCATATGCAAACGTTCCAGCATTGCCCCACGTTGCCTTTGATGGCCTATAGCTAACCATGGTGTCCGGTATCATGTTCTTTCTTTCTAAGTGTGACATCTCTTTCTTCACCACAATTTTTTTCAGCAGTTTGCCATACACATTTCACAGGGTGATTATACTATAACTGCTGAGCTGCGAGGAATCCCTTCCTGGTTTTGGAAATGATTTAAGATAACTATGTAACCAGTCATCTGGTACATTTGACATTTGAATACTATCATTAAAGTCCCTCGCCATAGTATTTCATCATTACTTAGCTGTTTGATATGACCAAAGCGTACATCGTCTGGCCCCGGAGCATTATTTCTGATGCCTGGCAATGCCACCTACATGTCGATTATAGCCACCAAGTCTTCATAATCGTTGAGTATGACAGTATTATGCCTGAGATTATCTAAAGTGTTGCGTCGATCTGTACAATCATCTTCATATGTTTGCATTAAAAACTGCCTAAAAAACTCTTGCCCCTTATCAATGTCACTTGTCAGTGGTACCTTCTTGTTGTGCCCTTTCTTTTTCTTTCATGTTGTAGTTCAAACAGAAATCATGACTGGTTTCACCATGACTATTTCACCTCATGGATCTTGAATATTTGGTATTTGAAGAATGGTTCTTTTAAAAAAATTCATTTGTCGGTTCAAATTCCAGAATGTGTGTAGTGTTTTCTCCCCGCTACGTCTGTCACAACATTTTCCCAAATGCTTTCCTTGGCCTCTTTGGCACAGATTTTAAATGCATTACTTGGGATTTGTTTATCTTGATGTTTTCGCTCAATATCTTCACAATTTACAGGTCACAAAACAAGAATCAGCTACATCTGTCAAACAATCTTCTCAAATGCTTTGCTTGACTTCTTTGGCACAGATTTTCAATGCATTACTCAGGATTTGTTTATCTTAATGTTTCTGCTCAGAATACAAGAATCAGGGACACAGCCAAAACACTGACAGGACTAGTAACCTGGTCAGAAGATGGTAGCCTCCAGAACAAGGACATGGCTAGAACAGGAACGCCATTGGAGCAAGAACATTAACTCAAAATGCTACAGGACACGAACAAGAACACACCCCGTGCGGTTTCTGAGACCTCATTGTGGCAGAAAAAGAATAGACCCATTGCATCTCTAACAACCAGGCCATAAAAGTCTACTAATATGGAGTGTTTCTTTCGAATTGGGGGTGCTTATGCGAGGAATCAACAGTGTGTATTCAAGTATGCCTGATCAGTAAAACGGATTTGCATGCAAAATGTTTAGGAACAAGAAAAAAAATCAAGAATGGATAAGCCACCAGAACTTTCCTGCCGGAGTTCACAGCAGTTGAACAAGACGAAGAAAATGCGTATGAAGAAGGAGGAGGAGGAAAATGAGAAAATTGAAAAAAAAAAAAAAAAAAACTAAATTTTTGCGCAGCAGTTTACAGCAGAGGAAAAATAAGAAAAAGAAGGCAGAGGAGTAAGGGTTAGAAGAAGAAGAGAGAAGGCTGAAGAGGAGAGGAGGAGAAGGATGGGGGAGGAGGCCAAAGATGACAGGAGGAGGAGAAGGGTGGGGGAGGAGGAAGAGGAGAAGGAAGGAGGTGGAGAAGAAAAAGAAGAAGAAGACAAAGACACAAAGAAGAAGAAGAAGAAGCAGATGTAGAAGGTGAAGGAAAATAATAATAATAATAAGGAGGAGGAGGAGAAGAAAAAGAAGGAGGAAGAGGAGGGTAAGAAGAAGAAGAAGAAGGAGGAGGAGGAGGAGGAGGAGAAGAAAAAGAAAAGGAGGAGGAGGAAGAGGAAGAAGAAGAAGAAGGAGGAGGAGGAGAAGAAGAAGAAGAAGAAGAAGAAGAAGAAGAAGAAGAAGAAGAAGAAGAAGAAGAAGAAGAAGAAGAAGAAGAAGAAGAAGAAGAAGAAGAAGAAGAAGAAGAAGAAGAAGAAGAAGAAGAAAAGAAAAGACCAAGTAAAGAAAGAATACAATCCGAGAGAGAACACTCACACTGAGTCGTGACACCAACAGAACTTTGATCCCAAAACAACGAGAGCACCGACAGAGCACCGATAAACGTATAAAATGAAGTACCGATAGAACCATAACCGATAGAACCATAACACCGACAGAACAAGGGTACTGACAGAACCATAGGACTGACAGAACAATGCATTGACAGAACCGACAGGATTATTAGAATGCCCATTACACCACAACAGCTCCAGAACCACACACACACATGTGTAAAGCTAAGACACGCTGGTGCGCGCACGCGCACACACACACCAACTGATGCTCCTATTTTGAGTAGCATAGATACATTTTTAATGAACACTCAAAAGTTGCAACAAACCTCTCCTTAGCCGTACACACTTCACGTCTCGGGACAGA